AAACTTAAAAATTAACCCTAAACCCTAAAAACTACAAAACTAAACTAAACTTAAGTACTTTATAGGGCTTATTATTTTTTATTGTCAATTTGTGAAATACTTTTCTTGTCTAGATCAAGCCTTAACATTTATACTAGGTAAAGATAAAAGACTAAGATAAAAAATAGGAAAATTATTTTTTCAAGCATTCCAATCTTCTATACTCAAATGATATGATCTTAACTGATCCATGAAGTTGGTTATTGACATGTCAGATATAATAATGGATGGCATATTGCAAAAACATGCAATGACGGATAGCATTTAGTTTTTTTTCTTCTCAAAGTTGTTGACAGCTAGAAAAATCATACCACACAACTAGAGTAATTTTTTATTATGTTTGCATCAAAAAATTAGAAAAATTACTTGGTTGATATGAACTTTGTAGTGTAATTTGATCATATATCATTAATTTATCAAGCAACTAAGAAAAAAATTTCAAAAAAATAAATTTAAGACATAGAATGGCGTTAGAGCTTTAACGTGAAGATTGTACACAAATAAGTCAATAATCAATTTGCAAATGCTCTCACACAGATATCATCTTTTAGTCATGTTGTAAAAAAATAAAACTCAAACTAAATGATAAAGCAAGATGGCAAATGTCACAACGGAATATGAAGAGATAATGAGATCATTGCAAACGAGAAACTTTCAAGGTTTAGCTTTTCACAAACAAGTTCTATAGATTTTGCAAGATCCAAAATTTTGCTCTATGATTTTGTGAAAAAAAGACGATAAAACCATTGCATGCTATGTGAGGATGAAAAATCTCTTGGAAAGCATATTAAAAATATAATTTTGGTCCAAAATAATAAAACAGGCCGTTTAAAATGTTTAAACTCACATAACAGTTGGTATTTTATCACTTATCTTATTTTCTTGACAATTCATACGAATTTAAACAAAACACATGTTGAAAATTAACTTAAACTTACAAATTTAAAATTTTATAGATAGTCAACAAAATAAGACAACTATTTCAAAACCAACTGTTATATTAAAGCCCTTTTCTAGCAACAATTAAAACATGACATTTCATCATTAATTTTGTATAAGAATTACTAAAAACCTTGTTATGATATGATCTGATTGTGAATTTTATGAACAAAAAAAGTAAAACTAATTACAAAATTGATAACAATTTCACAACTTGTTAAATCATATCTAGATTCAGTTTTTGTACAACATGGCCAAAGCAAAGTCTTAATCATTTATAGAGAAGCGCATTTCACTATTCTTTTGGGAAAATCTTGTTACTTTTTTTCAAAACAAAAGTAACAATCTCAACAATTTTATTTTTTTTAATTGATGCTATAATTATGTAATTATAGAAAATAAGCTATAGTTCTTCTTTAATAACATGACTACTAGTTAAAAAAAGTGTAATAAGAGAAAAATGTATGAATCAAAGTGTTGGAGAACTACTTGTATGAACAAGGTTTAAAGTTGTCAAAATAATTTTTCCAAAAATGTTCATACTTATGAAAATACACTATATCATATCTTTTTAGTAATTTATAATTGGTATAAAATATGTTTATATTTGTGATGAGATGTCAAAAGCATGAAATGACAAGATAGCAATGAGGTGGCAAAAGCATGAGATGGTGAGTTGTAGTGAGGTGTCGACTTTCAAACACATAATGTGAAGAATTTCACAAGTGTTGAGATGGCAGAAACATCAGATGAAAAGACAAGGATGATGAGATTACATAAGCATGATGTGAGATGACAACTTTCACAAGCTTGAAGTGGCAAAACAGTGGCAAGGTGGCAAATTCAAATATTATGAAATGATGAAACAACTAGCTTAAGTTCAAAATCAAAAAATACATATGTTAATAAAGTATAAATGGTAAAATCACATGAATGCAAGACAAAAACAGATGAAATAAAAAGAAATGTGGATAAATTATGAAACAAGAATTCTTTATTTGCAAAAAATATTTTATCCATATTTGATAGAGTTTTTAAATGAAGAATCAAAGAAATTCAAAATGAAAATTTCATCAATAAATGATTACAAAATAAGCAAAAAAATTGCTTGCAAGTTAAGAGTAACATCTACATTTAGAAATTTACTAATTATGAAAAAATTGTGTTATGAAAATTTAAGATTTATTGCAATTGTTTAATATTTTGAATTGTAGATAAAGCCTGATATATACAACAAATTTATCTCTTATAGAAACATCAAAGTTTAATTTTATTTTTATTGATTTCTTTGTGATATCAGAACTTGTTTATGATACATACATATATCATAAAAATTAAGAATTTGTTCATATATGAAACTTCATTATACATATTATGTCTCATAATTGCAAACACATATACCGCAATCATAATAATTTGTCAATCTATGAATATCAACTCCTCTACCAATCTTGATACTTGATCATAAAGATTCAAAAATAGATAAGGTATTTAGTAAATAAATTAAAGGTTTCATATGTACTAATATAAAATCTTGGGTTCAATGAAAATTATATTCATGATATGAATCCAATTGAATCGACAGTGATATTTCTAGCTAATGCATCTTCAATAATTGAAGAGTTTGAATGTATGTGAAATGAGTATATTGTATCTCAAAAGAAGAAAGATTTATAACCATGTTTGATTAGTTGAAACTATAATAAAGGTTATTCAATATGAAAGTAGAATAGATATATAATTGAATATTTATGAAAATCACATAAGCAATCAAATTGTAGCGCACGCAATTTTTGACAAGATAGATATCATAATTAAGATAGAAACAAGGTTGAAGTAGATTCAGAAATGAAAAAAATCTGATTTGTGAAAGCAAGAAAAAAGATACAACTAGTGTTGACAAGGATGATGAACAATGTCTCGAGACTCTCTCTAGAAATCGCCAGTGCTATTAAAATTTTAAATTGTCTAAAAGAGTTACCTTGATTGTCAAGATAAGGCCACTACTTTTGAAGTTGATTGTGTATGTCACATTTATGACACTTGACTTTCAAAGCATCGCCACCTCCTCAAGTTCGTTGTGTATGTCACATGTGTGACACTTTATTGTGAAAGCATTGCCATCTCCTCAAGTTGGTTGTGTATGTCACGTTTGTGGCATCCATGTGCTTGGTAGGCAAAAAGTAATTGAGTGAATTAACAACAACACGTCAACAATTCTTATGTTTGATATGTAAGAATAATTTTGTTACTTAATAACAATAAGTTAAAAAACCTTTGTCTTTGATACGTAAAGAATAAATGTGTTAATTAACAATGACATGTTAGCAATATTCTTGCTTGTTAAATAAAGATTGAATGTGAAAGTTATTGTGTTTGTTAAGAGCAACATGTTAACATTTTTATGTTAATTAAATGCATATGTAATGTCATAAATCCAGTAGGATTTGAATGATTTTAAGATCTTCTTTTTTAAAATATGGTGCATACATTTCTATGAAAAAGAGAAATGTATTCTAATATGTTTCATCTTCAGAGTTTGTATATCATATTCCAGAAATAAATTATTTTAATCCGTAGTGTTACATAGACGTTCAAATCAATCAATATTATATTGAATTTTTTTTATAATTTGATTTTTCCAATTATCACTTCTGTGTTAAATTCTCACAAAATATATAGAGAAGTTATTGCACATCAATAGATACTATCGGAAGAGATAAAGTGAAATATTATCTATGTATAATAATCCAAATATAAAAGATAACATATTCAATATGTTATTCTTGGTGTAATATATTCTCATCACTCCTTGACGTGAAAAGTTCTTTTTTCCTTACACAAAGTAGATAAAAATATATACATATTGTGACTTGTAAGAAGATATTAGAATTTCAAATAAAATGATTACTTATGGATGTATATTTCAAATTAGTTCTTTTAATATTTTTCATCTCAAGAATAATAATTTAAGAAACCGAAATTTTTATACTTCAAGAATATACCGAGTCTGTTACATCATTCGATAATGGTTTTTCACTCCTAAATTGGAGTTGTCCGTTGTTGTTAATTCAAAGAGTTATATCAAGATATAAAAACATAATTCTCACTTTCGGATATACCTATGGTGACCTAAAAGCCTCCAAAAATCTAGCACATTAACTTCTCCAGAACATTGGGCAGATTTTTTGCTTGAAACTACTGCTAAATAACTGGAAGAAGAAGGTAGACAACGAAATCCTAATATGCATATATCGCACCTTCCACATGTCGTGGAGGACGCTGTTAGATGTTCCAGAGAGCACGATACTTGCAGACTTTTTCCAGAGGACCATGTGAGACCGTCCTACTACATGTCTATATGGTGCCATCTGGGCGCGCCATGTGGCACTGACCGACCAATGTAGTCAGACGAAGTGATCACAATCTTTTATTCATACTCATGTCTCAAGGATGACCAGAACTGAACTCACTTGCATTCTCTCCGTGACCTCTGTGTCGCAAACTGGAGCTATTGTTCAGAATGTGATGCTATTGGGACCTAGCTCCAGCATAGCCGTTCGATTTCATCTGGATAGGACTCGACGACGTTTCCTTCTTACTCCCATATTTACTTCGTCTTCTCTTCTTAAAAATAGGTCCCAAGCAGACATCGGTAGAAGCATCCACTGGGCGCTGGCAGTTCCTGATTCGTTCTCTTTCAGATGGCTCACCTGTGCACCACTAGGCGAGAGCCACCTGGCAAAAGACTTGACTGACTACTAGGCCAAGATCGTAAAAGTACGAGAAAGAAATTTTGCATAACTCCCGCTCGACCTGGGAAAAAATCTTCAAACTTGCTTGCACAGGTCACCGTTTCGGAGGGAGAGATATAATGCTACCTACACTCCTACACGCAAGTTTCGGGTTGAAAGTGACGTGACGGAGTAGAATCTGCCGCTTGAGAATATTCGCAGTGTTTTATGTGTCAAGCGCAGGGTCCTTGACACTTTCTTTATAACCTGCCTTGAGTGCCTTCAAACAGCCATAGTTTCCAATTCGCTAACTTGTCAATTATCAGAATCTCGTCGTTCGTCTCCAGTTTTCTAGCTTGGAATCCATCTACGTTGTGAGTCGAGCTCCTATACAATCAGATTTCTGCTTCGTATTAGAGATCCGAGATACTCTTTCAGAAGGGAATTAATATCAGCCTCGGACATAATTCAGTCATCTCTGATCGTTCATCTCATACCAGGTGAGCCTAGAAGGGATCAGGATCAACGGTGAGAATCAAGCTGCTGTATTTTGTGTACTCCCTCCGGTGGTGTCACAGTCTGCCGCGACGAGTTCGAGTGTAGATCGTGCTCAGACGCAACGATCCTCCTATCGAGAAGTGTGCACAACGTTCAGCTGCAAAACCTGCATGCGCTCCATGGTGCACATTATTGAGGTGGATCATCTCATTTTCCCTGCAAGTGATCGTCTCGACTGACAGCTGCGTACAAGTGGTACATTCACATGTGAGTAAAGGAGTTTGCTTTCCGCTGGGATCTTCTCACTTGCCTGGACGACTGCTTATCTCGGAGCACCGTTGTGCACCGAGACTGCTCTAGAATATCTTGCTGCTTTTCAAAATTCCTGTCCTATAATGATCGTCGCTACATCAGCAGGGTTGATTTGTGCTGGTGTTTGTTGTGAACTGGAATGCATTGATCATGAATAGACTTGTACCTGATATATAGAGTGTGAAGTTATCGTTCGAGTTCTAACTTTATATATTGTATTTATAATTTCATACCGGGACGGTGCTCTCGTGCAATAGCATGGAGCAACAGTTTGCTCGATATTCTCTCCATAAACTACGTAAGCGTTTGGTGGTTTTATCTTAAAGAGCGGAGGACGGATTGCTACTTGTGTTTATCCTGTCTGTGATGTGAATACATGGGTGTCACTAAATATCTTGGCTATCTGTCTTCTTACCAGTCTGCAGAAGAAGTAGAAGCAAAAGTTTTGCAATGGCCTCACATCTAGCAAATACTACTTCAGCCAGTGGGGCTAACTTGCCACTTTCTCTGCAGACGAAATTTCCGCAAATAGATTCTGGACTTCAAAGAACTCAATCTTCACTGCCGAGAACTATGTCAGGCAACGTTGGACATGTTGCCTGTGGATTGACTCGAACTTCATCAAAATCTATTGGGAGAGATAAGACCAGACAGACCTTCAAAAAGAGGCTCGACCCGCTCGAGGAATTCAAAGATAGTCCATCAGCAGCGCCGCCGAAAACTCAGGGACATGGGAACTGAAGGAAAGCTTTGATCTTAGTTCGGTGGAGCATTAAATTACACGACTTCCATTAATCGTATGCTATTTCGTGATTATTACAAAATAAGACTTTTTTGCAGTATCGACATTGTCCAAGGCGTTTCTCATCTCCATATCATGAGCATCACTGTTTTGTGTGTGGCCTCAATTTGCTTCAAAATGTATATTCCTGTGCAAGGTACTTAAGTAGAAATGTGTGCAATCCAATACAGCCTCTTCATGAGAGTTTTAAATTCCCCTTCACTCCCCATACAACAGTACTTTGCAAAATAACGTAAGTATGTCTTGTAGGTAGATTCCGATTATAGTTCCACCGACCACGATCTTAAAATTTCAGTAGTCCCACTTAGCGGGAGAAAAATACCACGTAAAATATAAACGATGTAAATAGAACAGTCTTATATAATTTGGATACACAAATATCACAATAGCGCGTTTTGCAATGGTCTTCCAATTCAAGCATTTTTTCTTATGAATGTGAAAATAATATACAAAAACCTACCAATCTTTACGGTGCAGGCACGATGAGAAGGAATCTCAATATGTGAACTAAATTTCCTGTGATTACTAGGCGCAAAATTTGAAAAGACTCAAATACAAAGCGAACTAAATCAATCATACATATCTTACATACTAAAATAAAATGGGCTGTTTTCATTTATCAAATTGGTTCAATTAACATAATTTACAAGTTAAGCTACGGATAGAATATACTGATGAGGAACAAAATTGGTCAACAAAAATACTGTAAACAAAAAAATATTATTACTTTACAAAAATAATATATGTTTTAATCTCACTTACAAGAAGCTCTTATTCCTGAAATAAAAGCTCGTATAATTGAGTTGGAATAAATGAAGACTATTACAAGTCTATTTCTCCAACACACATGCTTTCAAACTTCAATAAAAGAACGCAATTGATATAAAGGCATTAAAACTTACGATTTATACGCTCAGTTCGTTATTTACTTGGCCCCTGTTTATCATCTGTTTCACCAGTTTTTCAGCCAGGCATTTCTGTTTTAGCAGTTTCTTTAGAAACACAGGAGAATACTCATGTTTCCTTTCAAATATAGTGGCTCATGTTAGAGATAAAATCAAACATGGGGCAACGTGCCGTTGGAACAGCTTGAAGTTCTAAAAATCTGCCCTTAGATAAATTTGTGGAAGGATGCACGCTCCTGGCTTTGGCCCGGGAAGTGATGCACAGATACTTGCAGAGTGGAAAGAAAAATGTTGGAAAGAGGTAGTTGAGGTCTATTAAACTGAATATGGTTACACAACCTACCTGGTGAGCTCCCGACCTTCGGCTCTGAAGACCGGTTGCTTTATTGGTTTCCCCGAAACTGTTAGAGAACCCCTAGTTTCAACCAGTTCAACATCTTCAAAGGGTTGCGTAGGACTGCGTAGAAAGCTCTTCAAGCAAACTAACTTTGTCAATTTTCTGCATGTTTCTTTACTTAAAGTTGTTTCTTAGCCCCATCCAGCCCTCTTCGCACTTTCTAGTACTATCGGTTTTCTCATCACCAAAGAACAGTCTGTTAAGTCACCCCTGCCTAATAGAGGTGCAATGTTTTCAAAAGTAATGGAAAAGAACTTTCTATCTCTATATTGTCAAATTAATTAATGTTGAATATACAAAAAATTCAGATATCTCTCACAACTTTCTTAGTCTTACAAAGAAATGACATTATCTTTTTCTTTATGAAGCTAGAAAAAATAAAAGTTATATAAACATATTCAGCATTGCGTTATTTTGAGATTTTGAGATTTTGATTTAACTCAAGTTAGTTTGAACTCACTTAGTTCAGTTGGTTAGACTCTCACTATATAAAACAGTTATCAAAATTCTCAGTGACGATTTCAGGCATTTATGTGATTAAACCTGATGTGTTACGGTGTACATATTCCGCTGTGATGAATCGCGTTATTTCTGTGTCTACTCTTGTGTCTCTCTCTTTGTTACGGATTCATGGTCTTTCTCGAGATTTTAACGTGAATTTCATTATCTTACCATATATTTATTTGTTTATTTATTTATTTTGGCTTCAATGAATGCAACAACTCAGTAGGGTTTTTCAAATTTTGTGGTTTGATTTACTCATTGGAAAAACAACTGTATTTTATGCAAAAAATAATAATTCAATTGTTAAAATCTTTGGTCTCAATCCTGGAATTAAAATATCAAGAGAGTTGTAGCCAACAGCCAGCCAAAAATCTTCCACAAGGATTTTTAGGTAGCTTGTAGTTTATGTTAAAGCATTTACAACACACCTATTATTTTAATTTTTGAAATGGAATAAAAAAATAAAAGCTACTTGATATACATAGTCCAGTACATAATGAGAACCTTAATTAGAAAAATTCCTATGTTTTAACGTTTCAATATAATAATTACCGTTTTACTTCATGTATCAACTAACTAAGTTCTTTAATCTATTCATCTTATATAATTGAATCTTCCTGGCTGTTATAAAACTTTTTAATACTATTAAACATATAGTGAATGGTTTGGTATGTCTTACTGTTCTAATTTCAATTTCCTTGCTTATGTTTTTGAATTTTTTTAAATTAAATTTTACAGATATTTCGTCATTTCGAAATGATGATTCTTCATTATCTTTATCATAAAAAAATTTTGAATTATAACCGTTTTCCCATCATCAATTTCTAAAGACAAATATGTATTTACATATAAATTTCACTTGTACACAGAAAACTTTTGCTACAAAGCAGTTTTGAAAGTTCGGAAAGTATTATACTGTAAGCTTATGCATGCAAGATAAAGAATCGATCAAAATTTGCAAATGGAAATGTTTCATGTATATAATCCCAGATCTCCTTGTTTTGATTTTATCTTTATTTCACATATTCAACGGTGAAAAGTTTCGGATTTTTGTATATCATTGCCCGAGTTTATTTAAAGTGGTGAATAAATTACCAATTTATCTTCTAGATTTTCACACTACAATGATTTATAGAGAACACATCATCAAAAAATCAATATTTGAGTTTTTAAATTTTTTAAAATCGCTAAATGTTAGGTATAGGACATAACACTGTTGCAATTTTTTCCTTCAGATCATGTAAAATTTGATTAGATTCTTGGCTCATTCATCTTCAGTTTGAAAACGTATTTAAATGTATCCGGACTTTTATTTCAAGAATATTCAAAACATATTTAAACTTCTCATCCGGTGTACTATCAAGACATATGAGTGAGAACAATTGTAGAAATGCATATCATGTTTATGTTAATATCTATTTATTAAAATAAATTTTCACAAAAGAAAAAATGGATATAAAACCCGATTAACAACAGAATTTATAAATGGTATAGGGGACACAAATTCAACCTTCTTTTGGATAAATACAAAAAAGTCACATAAATCAAAATTGTATGTTTCATAAGGTGCTATACAGGGGGATCAAACTAGACGAGGGAAAGTGATATATTCGTGGCAGTTAGAATCCACATGGAGATACAGTTGGAAGAATCCTGATAAGATTTTTTTGAAGGTGACATTATTACGTATAATGAGGAATGTGTGGAAAATATGCCTAATTTATCTCACTATATTAATAAAGATAATCAATACGAATCATGTTAAATTTTATCTTGTGGAGTCTTTGGATTGTCCTTAACATCGATAAATATGATTGCAGTTGCAAACGATTAAATCTTGTGATACAAATCGTCAGGTTTTTGAGATAAAGGGTAACATTCAAATTATACCACAATCAACTACATTATAATCCGTTATTGGCTCTTTTATTACTTTTGAAGTAAAACCTCGAGCAGAGCGCGCAAGTTATATGTGGCAAATCGTGCCGACAATGCAATGCTATAAGGCTTAGTAATTAACTGCATCGTTTGAAGACATGAAGCTTTTTGCATGGCATAAGTGCCTAGAGATTCACGAGGTGCTTCGGAACTGTGGTTTGTTTGCAAGGACACCTTAAATTATATCTCCATACCAAAAGCAACTGAAAAGGTGAAGCAAAAAGTAGAGCATCTTGATCACGGGTGTATCTTCATTTACCTGCAACTTGATGACAGTCGAGTCAACATATCGGCCAGTTTGTAATTGATGACAGTCGAGTCAACATATCGGCCAGTTTGTACTCAGAATCTCTCTCCATTATTTTCTTTTACGAGCTAAACTACAAACTCCCAGATATGTCTGGCCCTTGGAGTTTCCATATCTGGCCTAACTTGTAGAGAAACAATACATCGATGGCATATATCGCCATTTGGTAAGGGATATTATATCTAAACCGGAAGTGCTGCTAACGGCCTATAATGTTTGGATTTGATGTTCTTATATATTCCTCCTCCATATATTCCTATCGACTGCATGTAAAATCCCGAGACAGTGAAACCTTGCAATAAAACAAGAAAAGTGGCAAGCAAAGCCTATCACAACGGCCCTAGAAAGTTCTTGATCGAGAACCCAAAATTATACTTACCTGGGCGGTGCCAATCGCTGATCCAGCAGGCCCATGAACTAGTTCTGGTCGACCCATTGCACTCCGGCACGGCAAGTCCTAGCACTTTCCACGGGAAAGTGCACGTCATAATTTGTTGCAGCGGAGCGCTCGCGTTCGCGCGGCCATCCACCAAGAGAAACAAGAAGCATCTGATGTTAACTGTGGTTCTAGTAGCAGAAGTTTCATGGCTTCCACTCCTGGGCACAAGTCCTTGTACCACACGCCTGGTCACTAGTCGTTGTACTTCACGACCTTGCCACGATGGTGAACGAAGTTTGACTCGATGTCGTTAAAGGCAATCTCCGCAAAGTCGATTAAAGATTCTGCAGTCAGAGTGCAGTGAAGAAAAAAACAAAGCGAAATCTACATGCGACAACTTTAGAATCGGACTCTAACGAACTTTTCATCGTGTCATGCCTCACGTACAACAAAGATTCACCAGCAACGAAAAACGAGTCAGAGATCCGTGAAGCACGTCTATCGGTTGAGTATGGAGTTCTGGAATTGCAGACACCGGGGATCATAGAACGACAATCCTGGAAACGTTTCCTACACCACAGGTCGAAGCGCACTGTCCGGATTAGTGCTTCATATGCTTCGGATATATCTTTGATTTTTTGGTCTTCGTACATACTTTCCGCTAATAGAGCTGTCAAAAATTCTTCACTCTTTTTAAGTGGGTTGCACATCTCCGGTCGATATCCCCAGAGTGTTTCCTGCCGACACTCCTGAAAAAGTTTCCTACACCACAGGTCCAAGCGCACTGTCCGGTTTAGTATTACGTCTCTTCGGATAAATCTTCGATTTATTCCGAGCGCGCTCAACTCCTTTGGATTTAATATCCATAGTTTCCTTCACACGATTTGCTTAACTGCCCGTCATTATAGTTTGTGTCAATTACGGCCCCCACCGGAAAATCTTCGTGCTCCCGTTTATGATATACCCCCGACCCTACATCGCCCGGTTTCTCGTTCCCACCGAGTCTTCTGTGGGTTCGTTTCACCTGTGGTGTTGACCCCAGGGTCGGGTCGTTCATGGTTATGTCAATTAATATTATACTGGACCGGTTGGTACTGACTGTGAGACTCGTTTCTTCCAGTCATCCACAATGTCGTAACCGCAAAAAGGCAAGTGCTCAAAAGGTTCTACCGAGAATTGAACTCGGGCTACTGGATTCAGAGTCCAGTGTCATAACCGCTAGACCATAGAACCGGGCTGCATATTGGAGTCACAACTTAAATAATAAACTTTGTTTCATCTTCGAAAGAAGGATACGGAGTAGGCAGGCACTTAAGCTCATCGGACCAAAGCCGATTTGGTGATTTGAGGGCCTACAACAGTGTGCAGAAATGGTAGACAAAGAGGTCAGTACTTTCAATTGCTTGAATCAAGTGCTCGGTTCAGTTTCAGTTCATCCTGGGCTTCAAATCATAGGTTTTTTCCGAATTTATCTCAAGGTTTTTTGTGGTAAACAATGACAGGCGGAGGATTTCTTGCGAAAGCAATGACCTTCCGCTACAGTACCAGTGTTGCTATTCTCCAGGCTGTCGCAAAAATCAGACTTTATCAACTCTCCCTATACCATCCACGTTTCGACTAGCCCTGGACAGTGAAGCTGCTTCCGCACAGTTAGCGGGAGACACTGATGGCAGCGTGAGACAGCGTCGATGCACATGCTCTCGAAACGAGGATGCTGTGTCTCTACTGTCAACGCATTGAACATAGTGGAAATTCCAAAGTTCACTACGCTCGATCGAGGGTTTTCATTCTTTCAGGCCTCTATCAATCTCCGTCCGAAGTCTGAGTCTAGCAGTCACTCCCTGAAATATGACCCACTTTGGAGATGAGCAAACTCTGACGGCCCGAAAGAGCTAATGGCGCTCCTTCTATTAAATGTTACCTTGTAGCAACCTTCATCGTTATTGCATCGTTCTAGGCTGATTGCTTCCGCCCATGATTCCAAGATCAGCAAGGGAAAAGATGCACATTACGTTGGAGGATTTTATCTGTCCAGGTTTCTACCGATGTCTTGACTAAACCGAAATTTGAAATGAACCCAGCAAGAATTTCAGGTCCAAATGACCACTTTGAATCTTCAATCTCTAACTGCCATCAAATTAACAGCTTTGTAGAAAGCCTTGACCCTCCAGACAGAAATAGGATTTTGTCAACTGACGTTAGCCCACTGCTTTTAAAGAGAATCATCCACCCTGTGGCTATGCGAGATCGATGGTATGTTCCTGGTGAGAGGATCGTGGAGAGTAGTCACGATTGCAGATTACTGGCCGTACATATCTGCCTAACATCTGACCAGATTGAATAGAACAGCAAAATTTAGCGCCCCCGATATTGGCACTGGGTCCAACTGAAAATTGAGAGACTGCGTCTTGAAATTACTCCTGTCTGGAGTTCCAGAGCTGTGCCTTCGTGAGACCTGTGTTATAATTTCTACCTACCGTCAAACTAGAAGGAAAATCGTATAAAGGCAATTGTCCAGATTCAATTCAATTGTGAGGATCAATCTGCATATCTGAGTTGGAACGTTTAAATTTGTGCAATGAGAAGTCACACAAACTTGTTTTTCGCCTTTGCGGTAGGTCGAGAATCGAATAACGGAGATCTGATGGTGTCACGTCATAGACAGTCACCGCATATCTCTCTTCTCTTTGGTTAAATTCAGGTCCTTCGACACCAAATATTTATTACATCCATGTATTTCTGAACTTCGGATCATGATCTTGCCTCAAAAGATTGTGTCTTTGAATTTGTAGCTCCTTGCGCAAAGGCATATCTAACTTAATCCTCTATTTCAGGCCTCCCCAAAGGCAATGTCTATTTCCCCTTCTAAAAGATTACTGCTAGTACTCTTCTGGACGGCTGATTCAGTTTGTGCTCAACAAATTTCTCATTTCCGACAGAAACCAAATCTCCATAACTCCAGTCCTCAGTGATAACTCCTTATTGTCAGTAAATGAATTTGGTAACGAATGTTGAGCTGTATTTTGTTTGAAGCCGTATACCATTTCCTGTTACTGCAGTTGAGTTTAAAAGGTGCTGCACTGCAATCATAGCTGTTCAATTGTTCCAAGTTTCGCGAGCTTCAAAATTTGCTTCATAAACGTCAAGATGATGATGAGGTCTTAGGCTTTCGCAATCCAGTATCATAAGCTCCCAGCGGAGATTTCTGGAGTTCAAAAACCATAATTTTGATTTGCTTCAAGACTGTCATTTAGCAAGAATTGCGCACTCCGCAGCCTGCTTGCATTTGCTGACTCGCGGCTTAAATATTTGACATGAGCCATCCGGCGTACAACACCTAGTCGAAAGTATAAACATGTAGCATGTACACGGAGTATTTATTATGCCCTAGGTTCTGGTTTAGGACTCATAAGCAAAAAAAGAGCTGCAGATACATTTTGAGGTTCTTATTCTCAAGTCTCAGGTTCTCACTTTCAATGTGCCTTTACTAGGGAGATGCAATGCTCTGCATTCGACGGCAATCGCAGAAGCATTTCTGGATTCCAGTCTTGAGATCTACTTTCTCACCACAGCTACATTCTTCACCTAATCTACAACCGTAGCCAGGGCACGGGCATGCCTTCAGTGCGATTGGTTGCTTGCAAGAACAACGGCATCTATTCGCCTTGGAAGCTGGATCGAGAGATTGCAAGAGGGCACAGTCACACGTCTCGCCTGCACTGCAAGAGTAGCCCTTGCATTCGGCACAGTTGACCCGCGGTGGATTCTTCTCGGGAGAACACGAGCACCTGCAGGTGCCTTTGGGTTTGGTTAGGACGCAGTCACACTTCTCGCCTTTGTTGCAGCTGTAGCCGCCGCACGGACACTCATTTCTTGGTGGTTGAGGTCCACGTTCCAGACATGAGCAAGAGCATTTGATCGGAGGCCACAGCTGCGCCTCCGTGCACAGACAATTCTGGCCCTGCGCGCAAGTGAATCCTTCGCATGCACAACTTACTCGCGGAAGGGGTCGTTCAGGGATGCCAGCCAGCTGCTCGGGGCATGAGCATGAGCACGCCTTTGGGGTTCGACTCTGGAGACACACACAGTTCTGAGTGTCTTTGCAGACTTCACCAACGCATGGACACTGATTCACTGGCAGGGGTTTCTCCGCAGCTGGAGCTGCTTCAGTTTGCTGCTGGACTCCGAAGATTGATATGAGCAGAGCTACGTAAACAATCACTCCTATCGATGCAAGATTGTGACCCATTTCTACAATGTGCCTCCTCACAGCCCGTTTGAATGCATATGATCATCTTCCTGGAGCGGCTTATATAAGCAGCTCTTGGATGCCCAGCATTGTACTTGATCAGATTGACTTATGTGGAAAGTGATTCTGAGCTCGTACAGTCGGATGATATGCGGAGTAGAGTACTCTCTTTTTTAGCTGTAGATGGGCACGATGAGCTGACAATACCCCAGATTTTCAGCACGTTTGTCTACGACAAGTCACATACTTGCCATGTCTCTTCTGTGTCATTCCTAGCTCGGGATCTGTCTTTGACTCGACGTAAATAGCGGATCTTGGGCCCACTTATCCAATACATGCCACGCGATTCAGTGTCTCGTGGCAGAGGAGCGACCTGCTCTTTTCGAGCTAATAGAAGATTTTTCCATACTGTCGCCACCTGCGCCGCAATATCAAGTGTGCACAATTGATGTACATTCAGCGTAACTGCACGTGCCTGCTGGGAGATAGAGGAGTATGGGACTCCATATCCATCAAAAGGAGGAGAGTTCTGTGGTACCCCACTTTTGGTATTTTTGAGTAATTTAAAACATTTTTGGAAAACTGTACCGCGACAGTAGTGTAAATAGCCATCGGTGCATCAAAATAGAGTGGAACTGGATGATTTCGGAGAATCTCGAAAGATCTCATAGAATCCAGGAGTTGGGCGCAACGTCTGGGACAGGCGCCGCCCTAAACCACGGGCTCTGAAGGATACCCCTTCGGCGCAAGGCGCGTAATCCGCCTTCAGCGCTGCGCCTTTGGCGCTAGAGAAATCCTTCAGAAACTTATCAATTCCCAAACGCCTTGACTTGGTTAGGGTTTCGTTGGAAAGACCTTGATGCGCTGATTCTAACTAGCCCAAGAACGCCTGGAACGGATGAGGACTCCGGGAGTTGTGAAGGTCGCAAGATACGCAGATCTTCGCCTACGCGTAGGCGAGGAAAGTTTGTCCTATGCGCGGACGAGGGAAGTTCGCCTACGCATAGGCGAAATAGGGTTTGACGTCGGCGGGATGTCCGACGCGAATGTCGCCTACGCGTAGGCGGGGAGGACTTGCACCTATGCACATGCGGACGCGAATGTCGCATACGCATAGGCGCTTCGGCGTCGGCGAGAAGTCCGCCTTCGGCCCTTGAAATCCGCTTTCGGGGTTAGAAATTGTACGGCGCCTTCGGCGCCAGCGCATCACGGACGGGCGAGGACCCGACGGAGTAGTAAATCCGTACAGACTGTAATAACCCACTAAAGGCTAAAACTGCAATATAGTGGTAGAAAGGTCGAACCCACAGGGACAGAGGAACACACAGGGTACAAAGGGTCACGTTTAACAGACTATTGAGGAGTTTGAATTCTCAGGCGACTGTCACTCCCAGAAATACTGCAAGTGTCCACTCGGAGCGCACTCGGAGGTCGCACAGTGCAGCGTAACACACACACACCTGAAACTACAGAAACACAACCCAGAGATCCATTAGGACCTCTACTCAAGATTTCAGGGGGAAGGTCTCTCAAGAGTACACTCAGCGAAGCTGCGGGTAGTGACTCCCAACTCCGGCTTTTACAACACTTCCACTAGCTTGCTGCTAGCGTAGGAAACCCGGTTTGGACTGCCTACTTCGGATCGAAGTCACTCATACGCGGTGAACAACACTCTCAACTCACAAAACGCGCAGAGAACACAGGTCCGCACTAAAGGACTCACTGAGAAACATTCTAGTAACACAATAACAGTCTATTGAAGAGTTTGAATTCTTAGGCACTTGTCATTCCCAGAAATACTACAGGGGTTACCTCACAGGCACCTGCTGCAGCGTAACTTGAATTTACAACCAAGGCTTACACGAAGTAGCAAAACTTCACTTTGGCATTTAGGGGAAAAATCCCGAAGGAGTGCAATCAGGAACAAACACTCGAAGGTGTAGGGGCGAAACTATTCAAGTATCTAACTAGTCACTGGCTCTTAGCATCGGCAATCACCCGCAGGTGTAGATCCGAACTACTCAAGTCTCTAACCAATGTACTAGCTCTGAACATTCGGCCGAAGGCCTTCAGCTACAAAATGCGGAACGCCAAGTTGTAGCTCCTCGTGCGTGGTGACGGAACTAAGGACACAAACATGCAGAGAAAATGAGTTCCTGATCTGCACTTCTGATGTTGGGAAAGATCACAAGGCAAGACGCCTTGAACTACTTTATAGCTTCTAAGTCCTAACTAGCACTACACTGCACTACGCTACACGCCGGCACGTAACCACGCTACACTACACTCCGCGGAACCTGTGCTTCGCCTCCTGCGCGACGGACTGCCGCGCACTAACTCCCTACACTGCCAGTCTTCAGCTCGACTGCGCAGTCCCAACCGCTGCAACGCCGCGGACACCTCCGCCTCGAGGGTGGACATTGTATCCCGCGCCTTCGACAGAAAAGAGTCTAACTTCTTCGCCACCCGCCGCCGACTCCTACTGTCACCTGACAACAACCCGGTTGCACGAAGCTCCAACTCACACAGTGTGAGTTTCTCCTGCGCCGCCACTTCCCAGTGGGCGTAGCCCTTGAGACAATGGGCGACTCGCCTCGCCATCTCCTCCTTCGTGCGATCTGCCTCTCGCCTGCGATCATCTTCAATTACCACCAACTGCGATTCGGCCTCCGCACGCTGAGCTCTCAATTCCCCGCACTCCGACTGCAGCCTGCGGATTAAATCCTCATCCGCCTGTCGTGCGAGCTAACACTCCGCTAACAACCGCGTCTGTCGCACGAGCTCCTCTAACAGAACCTGATTCTGAGTTTTCTCAAAAATCAGTTCTTCCGTGGTGTTCACCACATCCCTGGTGAGCTCTTCCAGTCTCGCCTGCTTCAATGCGTCGTAGTGGGTGTGCGACTTCCGCACGAGATTATACTGTCCCCACAAACACGCATGCTTCTCCCGTAAATCCTTCAGCTCCCGGTCCACCCTAGCTAGTAGCTTGCTGGTTTGGACTTTAGTGCGAGTCCGCCTGCGCACTAACTCGATGTAGGACCCCGGCTGGAGTGGATCGGCGTATTTATCAAATTTGCGATCCAAGTACCTCAGCAGAGGTATTACCTGCTCAGAGAGCGCCGCCGCCGGCGCTCCAACAATTTCCTCCTCCTCCTCCTCGGTGTCTCTCGATCCCGACATTGCTTCTGTGGAGCCTCCTTCGTCATCATCCGAGGGAAGGATTTCGGTCGCCATTGATTGCGTTGGCGACTGATCCGAGTGGGTCTGCGAGTGGTCTACGGGTGCTGCCACCGATGGCACTCCTGCAGCTTCGCTGCTCCCCGCTAAAATGTTCAAGGCGGTGGGTGAATGTGGCCGTGCTACATCCCCATCATCCGCCTGCCGCTCGTCGACCGTGTCCTCTTCGCCGCCGACGTCCGCCGCCGAAGGCGATCGAGCGGAATGTGTCTGTGCGGGTTGTAATTGCGCATCGCGCACCCGAATTTCGTCCCGCGGACAGACAATCCGCTCCTCCGTTAGGTCCTGCGTGAGGGCTGCGTCTGGCCTGCGTGTAGGCGCAAGTACCGGCGCCTGATCCGCCGCAGGCGCAACGCCGAAGGCGTCTATCGCCGAAGGCGACAGAGCCGGAGGCCGCTCGCCCGATGTACCTGGCTCCGAAGGCCCTACCGCCGAAGGCGCATCTACCGGCGGATTACCCGCCGAAGGTGCGGACTCCGCACGCTCCCTGCTCAAAACTCGTTGGCCCGAAGGCCCTGGCGCCGAAGGCGCAAATCGCGGCGCGTTATACGTTGGAGGGTCTGGTCCCGAAGGCCCTTGACCCGAAGGCGGATCTTCCGCCGGCTCCTTCCCCTTCCTACGTTGTATCGGGGGTGAATCCTGACTACTCGTAGGCGGCCGCCTGTGCGTAGGCGAACTTTCTCTGCCTACGCGTAGGCGGAGGTCCACGTCCGCTTGAGGTCGCCTATCCGCTGGAAATCGCCTGTGCGTAGGCGGAACACTCGTCCGCATCGCACGTGGTAACTCCGGAGGCCCTTGGCCCGAAGGCCGCAGCTCGTCTGTCGGAGGTGTAGCGTGGTCCGCCGCTCCTGCGGACGTCCGCGCTCTCTCGTCCCTCTCCGGTGACGCACTTCCCTTCTCCGTGGCGATCGTCGCCGTGTCCGCGCTGCTGGCTGGTAACACGAGCCTGCGCGCCTTTTGCTTCGGCCGGCTGCACACTTCGTGCAGTGGCCGCTGTCGTATGGGAGCAGTGGGTTCGCGATGCTGCTCCTCCTCTAATTCTTCTCTCCATCGCCGCTTCCGCGGCACTCTTGCTGCGGGTGTGCTTCTTCCCTCGTCCCGCCGTGTCGGCGGAGTAGAAGCGGGTGAATCCTCTGCATCGGTGTCGACCTCGTTATCCCGCACATACTTCCCGGGATGGTCGACGGACAATGGCGGAAAGCGAGCGAGCTCCGCCGCGGTCAGACAGTTCCTCTGCCGATAGAAGTTTATCAAGAAAGGGGAGAGGTGATTGAGAGTTCCCCCCTTCTCCTCGAATGCGTGCTGTCGCATCACTCTGTGCAGGATGCTCGCCCAGTGAACTGGAGCTCCCTCCAAGATGAGCTCCACAAAAGAAACCTGCCACAAGGTGATGTATGAGGTGCGGTGTGGCTGCAGCAATTGCAGCAGCGCTGCCGCTAAAGTTCGTGGTAGGTAGGCGTCGGTGGTCGCTGTGGCTCTAGCCATTCGCGCACCATGTCTACGCAAATGTAATTCCATCCCCACAGCAAGAAATCAAGCTTTCTTGCAATCAGCCGCTCCTCGTAAGCACGCAACCCGTTCTGTGGAAGCCGGAGCGGTAGCATCCGCAACCTGTTCAGCTTCGACATCGCGTTCTTGAAATTTGCCTGCTCGCCAACTCTCTCTCTGCTCCGCTCGAGCTTCTTGCTCCCTCCGCAAACTCTAATCTTCCTCAATTCCGAATCGCGCGCACTCAATTCTCTCTCAGTCAACAAGTAATCCTCCGCGCGGCGATGTCTAGAATGTTTAACAGCTAGCAG